AAGTCTTCAAATCAAATATATGTCCATTGTCCTCACCAGTATATTTCTGTCACAGTATGAAACTTATCTTTTTACTAACTTAGCTTGTTCAACACTCACAACTTTAATTACATGTCGCTTTAATGTACCATGCAATGCCTTGATTGTACTTGACTTCCTCACACACTGAAACGGAGTGTGTCAGATATTTTTACCAGTTAGTATTTGAAATTAAAGCATAAGGAAATCACTTACTGATTCAAATTTTTTTCGAAGTTGTGAAACAAATGTAAAATTCTATTGTTTTATTTTCAGACACATGTACATTTATACACGATAATTCAAATTCAGACTCTCCCCACTTGTACGTAGACATACATGTATCCAGGTACTTCATTGATGCTGTAATCTGGTTTTGTCTTCCGACATTTTAACCCCATTCCTATATTTTGTTGATAACTTTGGGGAGTTCATTTATCTGAGATGCAATAGTCTTACAAGTGTTACTGAATGTTTGCTTACCTTCACTGCTACATGTACGGATGCTTGCTTGATTTACATGTACAGGTTTTTGTTGCAATCTTACTTCCTCAATCGTCATGGAAATCCTTTACAACACGTATGCATGACACCAATTCCAAATTCTTGTAAGTTGAAACGCAACATTTTTAAGGTCTGTCAACTCCCACTTGCATAAACAGTGGTAAGTTCTACGTCTTCGTCAATCACGCAAAATCCTCCCAAACGATTTCGTATCATTTTGGTATGATTTTAATCAAATGTCAAAACACATTTCAAGTACCTTATCAAAAATAACACAACATGACTTAGCAAGAATTATGTACAGCGAGCCTAACTGTGGGATATCGGTTACGTTTTTGAGTGTAACTTAACTTCCTATAGGAGTATGTTTACAGATGCCAGGTTCAAAAGCATAAAACTAAAGCAGGACATGTAATCTTTGTACTGTGCATTGTTACAGGCTACAAACTGATTAATATTGTTTTACAATGCCCGTAGACTTACCTCAAGCACTCCTTGATTCTCAGAATTCTTCCTCCAATGACCCCAGGTGGTGCTGCAGTTTCACTCTCTCATCTTTGCTTAGCCTACATGTATTTTGAGGTTAGAAGCATAGTCTTCAGCAGTGTTTGCAATAATGATGGTCACTTATCACGCTTATCAGTTTCAAAGTTAAGAATGGGCATATCGAAAAGTTAAGGAGACACCTGCAGACATGACTAATTCTTCCCTGCAGTGATACAATGCAATGAAAATAAGTTAATTTAACTTTTTGGCATTATTCCTACTACATGTATTCCGCCTTCAGGAATCTTTGAGCTTGCTGTTCCTTTAATTTTTTTTTTGTAATAATATTTTGTGGATAAAGTGAAAACATCAAATCAAGTCAGATACACGTAGAATGTGCTGGAAGTCAGCCATCAGAAAAATGACAACATTAAACATGTCTTAAAATGTCAAATTTGGCAGGGGAAATGTTGAAACATTTACGCAGAAAATGCTCAGAATTTTTCAGACCAGTTTTAGATAAATGCTTACAGGGCATGAGGGTTTGTGCACAGGGTATGTCTACAATATGAACGGTGCATCAATTGGATGGGCCTACATGATGTATACACTTTATTCCTGAAAAAGTCAATGAGCTCATTAAATGCAAGCCATTGTAATGATTTCTTTTATCAACATGATCAAGTTATAAACAACACCTCACTTTTAATGTCATGGTAACCTTATTCTTAGGACTCAAAATTTTGCATCTGTTTTACATTTATTAACACCCCTTGCCTTTGTACAGAAATGTCGTTGTATTGTTTTCCTGTATGGAAAGAGTTCCATAAACAGACAACACTAATTCTTTGAACTGTTATAACATGGAGATTGATGGTAGGACGTTATCAGAAAGTGATAACATGTCATAAAAAGTGAAATTTGGCCGAGAAAATTCCTAAGAATTTACTTCGAAAACACCAAGTCATAACACGACTGTTATCTAGTACTGCATGTAAGTGTAACGTCACTTGGTTTCCCTTCCCGGTTACTCTACCCATGGAAGTAAAACAAAAAAGATGCTCTACCTGACGACGAACCCCAACTGCACTAGGCCTACAGTGACTCGTGCAACGATAATAAACATCCCTTGGCAGCCCAGCGGTAAGATAGAGACTTACCCTAAAATTTCAGAGTAGTAATCTCACTTTAATTACAACAGTTATATTTAACGTATGTTCAAAACTCTGGGTATGTAAAAAAAGTCCTGTTTTACAACATTCCAGCCACAAACCGCGTTCCTCGGCAAGAGTTTGAAGTTGGCGCACGAAACCATGCACCGAGCACGCAGCCGGTACGACAGCAAACGAGCAAGTGAGAGCGCCCTCACAGCTTGAACACGACCAGCTGCAGTGCTTCCACAGTCAAAATGAAAATTTCCCTGTCCCCAGAGCCAAATTTCTTTAGTTTCCTCCCGATTTCCTTATTTTTTAGTTAACCACCAAAATATACTACCTGATATACTACCAAAACCACTATGCTTGTTTGCTAGATGATAAGTAGAGGTCAGTACAATGCTCAAACTCACGGCCTTGAACAAAAAAATCAGGATGACAACAGACAAACTTGTGCGCACACACAGAAAGTTTTATTCTACTAGTCTTGTTTCCAGTCATCCTGAATCTGACAGAATATTACTGTAGAGTTTGAAATGTAGATTTTGCTGCTAATTTTGAAAATATTTGTAGAATTTGCTCAGAATTTAATAATTTCCTTAGAATTACTTTAGATTCGGGGCATTTCCTCAAAATTTCCTTAGATTCTTTTCCTTCGAAAGCAAAAATTTCCTTAAACACAGGAAATTTCCTTGAAAGTGGAAGCGCTGACCACCAGGCCGTGTCGATGTCCGCTGCCCCCTTGTCACTAAGGCTGCGTCCGAATCTCTTGTCTAGAGCTAGGTCTAGGTCTTCACAGAACTGCGTGGAGAAGTGTAGACAATAGACCTGGCCGTAGCTCTGGAAGCCCGTTTCGGACACGGCCTCAACTCCTTGAGGCGGTTTACGCGGCCTGAAACCCTAGTCTTGGGCCAAGAGATCCAGGCCGTACGCACGCAAACCACGGCAAACGAGCTGCCAAGCTAGTACGGTACAACGGTGAACCATAACGGATCCCTGTAGGCTGTGTATACACCGACTTCACCGAACCAAACCACCGCAGACACGTGTGCGTGAACCCCACGTGCGTACGTGCGTGCGTCAGCTGTCCGTATCATGATGTCGAGTCGAACTGGCACTTGCCGCAGCGAAGGGTATTGCGCAACACACCGTACAGTGTTTCCGCCACGCACGCGCAGCAGGCCTGTCAGTCGGGGTTGTCAATTTTTTCGCCCAACGCCTTCACATCAAGGCTAGGCTTTATATCTGAGGGCAGAGTGGCTAAAACTGCAGTTGAAAAATGGTCTTAAAGTTGAGGGTTGCCACTTGAAAAATAGCTGCAAACAGACCTCGGAAACCTCACTTTTTAGGGGGGATTTTGTTTTGTAGAAGAACTAAAAATGTAATGCGGTTAACCATGGAGGAAGGAAAAAAGCTTCCATGGGTTAACCCGTAAAAAATTGAAAAGAAATCAAAAGATTAGGGACCAAAAATAAATTTAATTTGTGTTATAAAAACCTCAGGGATGTTGGTGTGCACATAGAGCATGTTACTGTGCCCATGTGCCCTATACAAAGCCGATTTTACACCGTTTTCAATAGGGCTTGAATTATTGGACTAACCCCGTACGACAACATACAACTACACATTCATTCCAAGGAGCTGTTTGTAGCCCTATGGTCATTTCGTTGGGGAATACCCTAAACGTATTTAAAGCACGGCCATGCATGCACCTGGCACGTGGACACAACGTGATGGCAAGCTGTGCTTGTGCTTAAAGTCATATGACCACATGTACATGTACAGTGTACATGTACATGTATGTGTATTGTGTTACATGGGCGTATTCTTGGAGCGGTACATTTATCTTGAATGTGAGAGGGCAACGACGTCACGATAATTTACGGTAAGTGTTTGAACCCTTTATCTTCACAAATCTATCATTTTATTGTTTAATTTATTGATATTTATTTATAGAGGTATTGAAACTAAAGTTTTAGAAGAAGTTTTTCCTTAAAGAATTCCACATCGGCCATTTCAGTTTCGATTTTTGAGTACGTGTGCCTGTGTTTCGCCTTCCCACGATATCAAAACATTTAGGCCTAGGTCAACAACTGGCATACGGGAAGCCTGACCCGAGACGGTACGTAGTGCCCTGGTATGGGTCTATGGGTAGTCTGCGTTCAAAGAATAATTTTAGACCAACCATGGAGGATGTCGTCTTCCTCCATGGACCAACATCACAACCTTGATTCCAACTACCACCAACCTATTGTCTCTGCGAAATTGTAATTGTAAAGATCTCATAAACCGAGACACCGGGGATCACAGTAGGCCTAAAGCTCTGTCCTGGTTGGGGGAGGGAGGCTGGGTGGTGGAGTGTGGGATGGATACTCCTCAATCCATCATTGCTGGAACTTGGAAGGGGAGGGAGGGTCTCTTTAGAGACATATTCATGCAGATGGGCAATTTGTCATCTCCTGTCCTATTTTATTTCGTAGTTTTTTTTCTCCAGGGGCGTATTCAAGAGGGAGAGCTCAGCCGGGGCTTGAGCCCCCTATTTTTTTCCACTTTCTGAATAAGTAGATACTGTGTACACTTACATGTACATCTTAAACTTCTAGCTCTGATAAAACTGCACACTGAATCCCCTGTTGCGGTGGAGGGCCAGGAGGGGAGCATTATGAGCTGTTGGGGATAAATTCCGGTCTGAGCCCCCAACAATTTCTGGGCGTTCCACTGTTTTTCCCATGGGGCTTCCCCTCCTCTCATGTCAACAATGCTGGCTCTTTAGTTCATGATTTTATGTTTTCCTTTTAGATGGATATAGTGCTGTGGAAGACTCTAACCTATGTTTTCATCAGAGGAATGGAGTCGACAGCAAGTGCAACCCCAATGACTACAAGTGTGGATAGGAGCAGAGATGTCCCAAGGGCTTTCCTCATTGTCCTTCTCATACTCACTGTGGTACAAACTCAAGCAGAGAAACAGGTACTTGCAAACCACTACAAAAACATGTCAAATTTCACCAGGAATTACCATGCTTCCTTTACAGTTCACAAGCTCAATTTGCTTATTGATGATAAACCCGTCTTCAGTTTCATTGCTTTTTATAAATTTTTCTCTCTTTAATAAAGATACATTTATGGGTTAGTGCTTACGACTTTAAGTTTATCTTTCTGTCCTGTATTTGAAGATGTTTTTCACTGCTGATTCATAAATATTATTATACGGTATACATAA